AATTATCCGGGAATTGGCCAGCATACTAGATGAGATCTGCGTCGCAGCTGTCATACGAATGCAATGCTGGAGGAGCATATTTTGAACAGTTGCTGTGATTTATTAGATATTTCATACTAGTAATATGTGACAACTGTAGGATTTACATCCACATGATATTCTTAGTACATCTGTGCAATTTTACATTTCTAGCTCATACCATTTGTGATATGTGACGCGTTGAACAGAGACATGTCCTGTATAATCGCTCTGTAGACAATTCAAGTACCACGTTAGACGAAATTTAACGTACCTTAAGAAACAATTAACATACTTAAATTTAACATTCAAAAACAAAAGCTTAGCCCTGATTGGCATATTAAGAAAATCAAGTTTTAATTAAATAAAATCAAGCAATGCAATAAAACAAAATATGCCATACTGACTTTTATACTTACAATGAGATTAATTCCGAGGCGTCAAGGGGTGTTAGGCAGTATCCAAGTGGATAGAGGGTGTTGTCAACCGCAGCCAAGATGGCGAGAAGTGAGTTTCAAAAGCAAAATTGTATAAAAAAGTGAAAACAAAAACTTGAAGAATCAATTGTGTTTTTATAAAGTGAACACAGTGTTTCAGCAGCATATCCTTTGCCGAACGTGTTTCAGCCAATCATAAAACTTTAAATATACAAGAAATGCATGCAATTTGAAATAATTTAGAAAATAGAGAAAAAGAACTAAAATTAGAAAATCAAAATCAGAGAAGCAAAGCTCTAATCTCTATAGCCATGCTTCAAGTGCAGAGTGCAGAATATAATAGCCTAAGCTAGGTGTAAAAATAGTTGAGAATTAATGAGACAAAATTATTGAGGAGAATAGTACTGTGAAGGGTATTAACCTTCACTACTCTACCTGTGTGTTCTAAAATCAATCATTCTAAGCAAGTAAATCTACTTATGGGACCTAGAGAAACTAATGGATTTATAGTGTCTACAAGGTCTCTAATAGTAGCATTTCTAATCCTCTAGAAAAGAAACTACACAATAGATATTATTAATAATTTCCGATGTAAAAGAAACTATTGTAATGATCGAAAACACATTGTTTTGTATATATATATTATAATTAAGCATTTTATTATCCGACACTGCAACAATATTCTTTACACCTATGACCACGACGATGTTTCAAACCTAGTATTTTTAATGCATTAAATATTTAGACGTGACACATGATAATCATTTATTTGTGAAACTCTTTTTTTTTCTTTGTCAAAACGTGAATTTCAGCGGAGAGAGGATGACGTTAATTATGACTGTATATTACAATATCTTCCAAGCACTTGAAGTATTTTAGGTTATTTGTGATTAGTAAAGGATCAAAAACCAAAAAAAAAATATCCTTTATATTTTCAATTACCATTGAAGAAGTAACATACTGTTCAGAATGATCAAGAAATTACTGGCATAGTATTTCTCTGTTATTAATTTTAAACAGATAACAAAAAACTACAAATTAAAAAACGAAAGTAACTACTTTAAGTCGTCTTAGAGTAAAAGGTTTGACTTGCCATTTTATTTACTTGTCTGCTATTTTACTAACTATTTCTTTCGGATGTAAATATAAGGAGTGTTTGACTTCAATGACTATTTCACTCTGTTTATCTTAATATTATTTCTAATACCTATAGAACTGCAAAGAAACTATCATGATTATTTTCTGTTATATATAAAGAATACAAAAATATATTTATGAAATTATCTTTACGTTTCACAAACTTTCTTAAGCAAACATAGCCACATGATAAGAAAATTACCAAACCTAATCTCACTCAAACAACAAACAGTTAAAGAACTCATAAATTTTACCTTTTAAAATTACAGCTAAGATAAATAATGCCTGTTAAAATGAGGAACAGAATGAAATTAAATATTCGTTTTTAGATTTACCAGTAATAGTTCATATATATTTTTTTTTCTTCATTGTAGCAGACAAGCCCTTTTGTGTGGTAACATTCTTACAGTTCAAACACGAAAAACGGTGTATTAGAGTTACGAAAGAATTACCCACCTGTCCCTGTTCCCCCTCAACGCTAGTAAGATCTCTCCACTCTTCAATGGTCTGAGCCAAATCTAATGTGTTAAGGGGTAGTTTCACTTCACCTATTTGGTCATGCTTCGAGAAACGGTCAAAGTCAAAGATGGCAAACACCAGAGTCTTTGAGGTTATTTCAGAGTACGGAAGCTAAGAAGACAACCGTTTTATTTTCATATAAGTGGATAAGCAATTTTATTGTTGACAAATTTCCATATACTTTCTAGAAGTAATCTTAAAATGAAATACACGTGAAAAAGAGCTTTGGACTAAATACACCCAGCGATGAAGCTTTCCGTGAAATATGTTATGGGTAGCTTCCTAACTACTTAAATATAATTTAGAATTACGTATTAGCTCAATAGATGGTGCAAACCACGCGAAAACTATAATTTATCTGCCACGCCCTCAGCTAATACGGTTTTACAAAAGCAATAAACTCAGTACCTCACTACACGTTGAAATTAGAGGCTTTAGGATATATTGAACGCCTGTACTAAATAGACTATAATTACTAACTAAAGGATATGTAACTCACCTAGCTTACTTGACAATATTCAGAATGAAATACCAAACACACATAGTTATGACATATTATTATCAAACACACATAGTTCTGATATATTCATTGGGAAATTAAATTTTTAAACTTCAATTCCATAAAACAGAAAATATATAAATAAAATACTTTATGTCTCGAAAGTCTAGCAAAATAGTTACAGAAATACACAAAAAAAACACATTAATTACTGTAATAATGACATGAAGCATTATATGTATATATATATACACACACTCGTCAATAAAATTGTAGATTACGAGAAACATATTCGTTTAGCAGTTGTTTCACAATTCTATCTATACTAAAGCACACCTTGAAGTTGAATGTCTCGTTAAACACTGGGTTTAGCGTCTTCCGATGAACTTTGGTCTCGTATTTTTTCTTTTTGTCTGGTAACAGATAAACCTTCACATAAGGATCTGATGTACCTGACATGTCCATACCTGGAAGATCCTCTGCTTGAATTACTGTTACCGCCAACTACAGATCAGTAGTAACAACAACAAAAAAAAAGAATGAACTAGTAGTCAAGCAATTATTTACATTTCGCAAGCATTCAGTTTATTTTAGTTTGTGAGGCAGACGTATAAGAACAGTTTTGGTTACAGTGAACATTGTTTTATATTTCATTTGTAGCATTAAACCTAAAGGAACGTGACCATATTCTCAACACTTAGCATTAAGTCTATATAAATTATGTCCATAAAACGATCACCTTATACTTGATATTCAACATTTAATACCCAAATATGAAACTTAACAATGATCACCTTGTGCTTGATGTTCAACACTAAATACACAAATATGAAACTTAACAATGATCACCTTGTACTTGGTGTTCAACACTAAATCCAGAGTCATTACGCCTTACGAAAATCACATTATACTATATGTTTGAAGCAAATCTTGTGGTTCCATATCAAAACTAAAATCACTTTATACGTAATATTTAGTATTAAATCCATGATGTTCTTGTCGTGCTTCTACATAAAACAATCGGAATGTCACCCTTGTTGAACAAAGTCTTGTCCCTATTAAAAATTTTAGCATCAAACAATTTGAAAGAAAAACGTTGTATATATTGAATTGCTACTTAACTATTGCTTATTGAGTGACCTAACAGCGTGTTTTATAAGAACCTATAATTTATACACATCACACTGAGATAATAATAATACGCCCTTTATCCAAGTTTTGCTCTAACCATTGCTGCTTTTCAGGCATGTGCCACGCCTTGTATCTGATGGCCTATCAAAAACAACAGTATAGAACTTTGCCAAAGACAGATTTGAAAAAAAAAGAAAAGAAAAAAGAATGACACTAAAATCAGTTCATCTCCCTGCGATGTTGTTTGACTTACACGACATGATATTTATTGATGTAAGCTGATATCGGCACTGTGTAGAAAATCGATAACTGGAACCTTGCCAAAACACTGCACCGATAGTACATGTACAGATGCCAAACCTAGACGATTTTGGGTTTAGTTTCATTTTGTATTTCCACTGTAACTGTTGTGAGCATTAATTCTCTCCTTCAGTAAAGTTGTTGATTTCTTCGTACACAATGACTTTCATGAAAGTACACTATCTTTATACTCAGTATCTTGAACCACTTACATTACTTGAAATTTGGTACACTTAGAGTGACAATCTAGTTGCTAAAATTTTGAGACATCGAAGTTTCTAGACTACTTTTACAATTTTAATAAAATGTCTAATTTCGAACTCTATGAGTCTTTACATCTCAAAATCTCAGTCACCCAAGTTAAGCTACCGTTTAAGGAAGGCTTAACTTCATACATTTACATTAACTAATAGATTCTGTACAATTGTCCTTGCAAATTATCAAGTAATTTAAACTTATCAAAGATCGAACAACGATAAAAAAAAGTTATAAAGCTAGGTGTAAATTTCTTTTGTTTTCACAGAATGATGATTAAAAGAGTAGATATGCTAAATGGTTTAATTCATCCGAAGGAACCCACAAGTAAAAAAAACATTTTAGTGGCAGAATAAAACTTATGTTACAAGAATACCTCTATTATAATCATAATATAACGTATATCTAAGTGAGTAATCCATGTGCATCTCGTTTATACGGCCTACTAGTACTTACATTGCTGGTATTGAAGTCATAGTCTAACTTGTACTGGAGACGGCCTAGTTTGACCTCAGACTTAGCGCTTTCTTCTTCTCCTTCGTTAATCTCCATATTATCTTGAAGCTCCTCCATATCCGGTTGTACCTGTGAATATTAGTGTAATGATATCTAAAGTTTATACTTTCTACATAACAAGCTCTACTTATAGGGAGATGATAAATTCATTAACTGAAATTTGCAACTCCTTCATTTTAACCTATTCTCACTAACTTCTCTATTTCCGCTATATGCACTAGAGATATCTTACATAAAGGTTGTTGCTCTTCCATGCCTGGATATTTTTAGGAACGTTAAGACAAGCCCCCAGTGGCACAGCGGTATGTCTGTGGACTTACAACGCTAGAAACCGGGTTTCGATACTCGTGGTGGGCAGAGCACAGATAGCACATTGTTGAGCTTTGTGTTAACTTCAAAACAAACAAACGTTAAGACATCATTTTTTAAAAGTCGTAGCCCCTTCATGTCTGGACGCCCTTGAGAATGTTAGAACATCATTATCTAAAAGTTGTAGCCCCTTCATGTCTGGACGCCCTTGAGAATGTTAGAATATCATTATCTAAAAATTGTAGTTCCTTCATGTCTGGACGCCCTTGAGAATGTTAGGACATCATTATCTAAAAATTGTAGTTCCTTCATGTCTGGACGCCCTTAGGAAAGTTAGCACGTTATTATCAACAATTTCTAGCTTCTTCAATTAAGAATATTTTTAGGATATCATTGTCTAAAGGTTGTAGCTTTTACATTGCAGTGTTTAATCTTGAGTACTAGGCTGTAATTACATATTGTATATTTTACTAGTGATATATGTATAAGTCTCCCAATACCAAGAAATGTAGATGGATATCCAATGATTCTAAACTAGCTATATTTGTGGTGTTGAAATTTCTTCGTAAATTTGTATTTTGATTTCAATGCGTTCAGTTTGAAAAGGTCATAAAATTCTGTAAAAATTATCATTTAATCTCATTATCGGTAGCAAGAATTTAGAACAAAACAGATTAACCCTAGTAATCAAAATACGGTAGAAGAACTTTTCGCATCTCGTTAGTTTAAGCTCTTAATTAATGAATACATGCAATATAAAAGGCCCATATTTAACATATTTACCATTACTTTATTCAGTAAGTTCGGTTACCTGTTCCGTAAATTGCTTATGTATGTAGGAAGATAGTTAAAGTAGGGTTAGTTGTGATAGACTTAGATCATAGTATATTTAGCAACTTATTTTTCTTTTTTATTACATATAACTTGGTTCTTTTAATTATAGCCTTATATTTTTAATGTTTATTGTCCGATTTGTTAATTGTTAATTTTACTTCCATAAGCATTAGTTTGTTTGTTTTTGTTGTTGTTGTTATTGTTTTGTTTTTGCTATACTATCTGTACGATCTTGTTACTCGACTGTATGCATAGTAAACAAGTGTCGTGGTAATTTATCTCAGATGTTAAGCTACTCTAAAGTTACACTGTCGAAGCAATTTAATGGGCATTCATTGATCACTAGATGTTGCCCCTTCAGTGGCTCACTGGTAGGTCCGAGGGTTTATAACGCTAAGAATCGGGTTTCAATACTTGCGATGGGCAGTGTGCAGATAGCCCATTGTGTAACTTTATGCTTAACAACAAAAAACACCAGATGTTGTTCACGACGTTTATGTAAAGTTTCGCGTATACTAGTGTCACGTGTCTCAAGGGAATCAGCTATTGTCATGAAACAAACATTTATTTCTATACGTTTTGTAAGTAATTTAAATCTGTTTTTATTTAATGTTAGTTTCATCTACAGTACTGGTTAAATTGTCGAAAATCATTAAATACGGTGGTACTTAATAGTAGGGATCGTCATTAAAGAAAATGGAAGCCATAAAAATCGCTTGTTTAAAACCACCTTTGATATGTCTGAATATTAACAATAATTATTTCACAGTATTGGCTAAGCAAAACTAATGCTTGTTGTACTTATAAAACCGCCTAAATTGCTATATACGTGTTTATGGAGTGACTCAAAATTTCACTATTTTAACGAATTTTTATCTAAGTAAGTAAGTGACTTTTCCAGACAAGCGCACAGAAAAATTGAAGAAACTTATCGCTCGAATTCTTTCACAGAACTCTTCCGACTGGGTTCCCAGTGATTCCTTTTTGGTACCGAAAGTGGTAGTAGTATATATGTATAAAACGCTACTTTGGGCATATAATTAGATTTGAGAGTAGATTGATAGATGAGTAATAAAATCGAATCCGGTATACGCGCGTCCCGCGTTTGGTATTGCTGGTGCACAAAAATAGAGTTAATAAAAAGGAAACAAACAAGTATAAATGTTTTTTTTAATTCTATAAATACAAGTATGGATCGATAAGTATGTTACCTAGCTAGCTCTAGTAATACAGAAAGTTTTATTGCTACAAAATGAATTGAAACAAGAAAGTCAAAATTACAAAAACTGAGTTAATTAAAATTAAAAATAAATGTTATCTCTACTTTGACTCAGACTAACATAATTACAGTGATTTGCCAAATTAAGGATACTGTTTAAAATTGTATGTAACTCAGTTTTGTAGTATTGACTTTCTTGTTTCAATACATTATGAAGCATTAAATCTTTCTATATTACTAGAGCTAGCTAGGTTACGAATATATATCGATCCCTACTTGTCTTTATAAAACTGAAAAAAATTGTATACTTGTATGTAATGTACATTTGAATAATATTCATTAATGATTATTTTGAACTATTTAATTAGTATATAGAGTTAAAACTAACCTAAATCTCTCAAGATGTTCAAACCTTTAATATACCATCAAAGTATCTTTAATCGTTATAAGAACGATCTATGTAAGTAGCTTGCTTTAACTAGAAGTTAGAAATAATTCTAATTCTAATTGATGTAAAAGATAAATCAAGTTTAGCATTAATGAATATATTTGAATCTCACTTGAGATGGTATACTTGACTAGAAACAACATAAATGCTCATAGTTAACCACATATTTATACAGATTAGTCTATATTATGATGAACTTCATTATAACAAAGGGGGTTTTGCTATGGGTCACTTTACAAGGAATTTAGAAGCGAACTGGAGACTCTTGGTAATAAATATAAAGTTTTCTGGAGATATCTTTCGGTGCTATTAAAATCTGAGGTAATAAAAATATATAAATACATGTCCCCCCGCAAGTCAGCTGTAAATTTACGGATTGACAACACTAAAATCTGAAGTTCGATTTCATGCGAAGGACAGAGTGAAGATAGCCCGTTGTGTAACTTTGCTCTAATAAAAAAATTGGATAAAAAATATATGTTCCAATCTTGGTTTTATCTACTTTCTTTAGAGGACGCTTATTTTTTTCTTTATCTTTGCTAAGTGACAAATTGATGTAGCCCTCCAGTAGCACAGCGGTAAGTCTTCGGACAGGTTTCGATACCCGTGGTGGGTACAGAACAAATAGCCCACTGTGTAGCTTTGTACTTAACTACAAACAAATAAATGAATGTAAGTTCATCTCCACTTTTATCCTCACAAGATCCATGTTGTTGTTTTTTTCATTTGTCTTGAACTAAACATTAGTTTTACTTTAATTCTTAAATGATGCTAAGTGTTGTTTAATCCTACAAGAAATAGTTTTTATTCATATAAAAATTTGATCTTTAGCTAAATATTTATCTTTCGACAACTTCTTTAATTACCTTTTCCTTGTATGCATTTCCCAGAAGCTGGACACTCTTGAAGTCCACTACGCCCTTTAGTCCCTTCTTACCGTCCTTTTTCCGCTTTTTGCACCACCTTCTGAGACAGCAGAAACAGATACACAACAAAAGTAGAGCAGTTCCAATCAGGATAAGAATGATGGCGTAGGCTGGAACTGCGAGCAGTAAAGATAAAACATTAATCTCTCAGTTTTTTCATCTAAACGTAACAAAAAAAGTCTAGATTGCTGTCAATTCTACAAGCGTGTATAATAGAATTGTCTAAGAGGTAAAAACTACGTTATAATTTTGAAATGTAATTTATCAGTTTACTTCAGAAGAATCTAGGCTAAGACTATGATCTTACATCACATGTTATAAGTGTTACTTCAGAAGTAACACTAATAACATGTGATGTAAGATGATAGTCTTAGCCTAGATTCTTCTGAAGTAACACTAATAACATCTGATGTAAGATGATAGTCTTAGCCTAGATTCTTCTGAAGTAACACTTATAACATGTGATGTAAGATCATAGTCTTAGCCTAGAATTTTAAGAAGAATCTAGGTTAAGACTATGATCTTACATCAGATGTTATAAGTGTCATTACAGATCTAGTTCCTCAGTACAAAAATTTTTTTTTAGTTTCAAAAGAATTTTACTTCTGTATACTGTAGAGACTTGGAACTCCATAAACTTACCAGGGAACAGTGTATGCTTAAAATAATGACAGTAGAAATTAATTCTTTGCTTTTACGAAATGGTGGGGAAGTATCTAACTTTAAGACTTTCTATTAGTATCATAGGAAGTCTAACACAACGCCGCAAATAGGTATTTTGATCTACGTATTTCGAAGAGAGTTTATCAATACATGAGAAGACCATCATCTGTATACGCTATTGGCAAGTTGTCAATCTTTGGGAAGATCTACATATATATTTTATTAGAAAAATGACTGATCAATATTAGAGATCAAGATCTACATAATGCTATTTGATATTTTATCAATGTTAGTGGAGAATTAGGTTTACATGTTGCTAAAGAGGTGGGTAACCAGTATCGGAAAGGATCAATTCTGGTTTTACATTTTGGTTTCGGATACTTTATCAATGCCAATGAAAATATGGTTCTACAAGGCCATCTAATTTCAAAATTTACACATTCATAATGAGAAGTTAATAAGGTCTGTGAACCTATAAACAGTGTAAACTGACTTTTTATCCATCTCTGGGATGACCTTGATTTCCATGGTAATATCGAACATTTCATCAGTGTTAGAGACATCTTATACACTTACGATGGGTCTTGTCCATTATTTTATGAAGCATCTTTTCACCAATGTTTTCTTCTGGAGCAGCAGCGGAGGCAGAACCCGCTGTTGTTGCCCCAACAGCATCACCAGCCCCTGGTGGAGCACTAGCAGCTCCACTCTCAACAGCCATTGTTACTGATTGGCCTGAAGTTTCTGCCCCGGATTTCTCTGGAGAATCTTTTCGTAGACGAAAAAGTAGCTCATCTATAGTCCTAGGCGGCACCATCCTAATGGAGTTCTAAAGTTACGATAAATACCATATAAATTTCCTTTTTATCACCAGCAATTATCCATTTACGATAAATACCATATACATTTCCTTATTATCACCAGCAATTATCCATTTACGATAAATACCATATACATTTCCTTATTATCACCAGCAATTATCCATTTACGATAAATACCATATGCGTTTCCTTATTATCACCAGCAATTATCCATTTACGATAAATACCATATGCATTTCCTTATTACCACCAGCAATTATCCATTTACGATAAATACCATATGCATTTACTTATTACCACCAGCAATTATCCATTTACGATAAATACCATATGCATTTCCTTATTATCACCAGCAATTACCCATTTACGATAAATACCATATACATTTCCTTATTACCAACAACAATTATCCATTTACGATAAATACCATATACATTTACTTATTACCACCAGCAATTACCCATTTACGATAAATACCATATGCATTTCCTTATTATCACCAGCAATTATCCATTTACGATAAATACCATATACATTTCCTTATTATCACCAGCAATTATTTATCTGTCTCTTTCACTTTGATGTGTGAATCCAACTAGTATAATGTAAAGAACAATTAAATATAATATGTCACTATATTTTTGTCTTACGAAAGATCTGAAAAACAATACTTCAAAACATACAAGCAAGAAATGTAGAAAACTTTCAAAGACAATAATTACATACAATACTTCACTTTCATATTGTAAAATTACACGAACTTCATTAGTTACGTTTATACATCTTGATATTAATTAGAAGTAGTAGCAAGCGTACAAGCCTCTACAAGCAAGTCTTTTAGAAAATTGCCCCTTTCTACAAATGTGTTTCCCCCAGCACTCTGTTATCGTGCAGTGGAAGTGTTATAATATCATTTCAAGATACGTTGTATAACATTGTCATCATAAGTATATTTAGGGCTATAATGAAAGCATAATGAAATCATTTCAAGATATATTGTGTACCATTGTCATCATAAATATATTTAGGGTTATAATGAAAGCATAATGAAATCATTTCAAGATGTATTGTGTAATTTGTCATCATAAGTATATTCAGGGATATAATGAAAGCTTTTAGTTCAAAGTAATTCACATGTCATTATAAAGTTTCACTTTTAAAATGCCAAACTTCAGTCTTTAATTTTGCTTTCTCGAATTACTCTCTTACAGCTAATATCCAACACTGAAAATGGCATACATAATGTGTATTGCATAAAACAGATATAAATCACGATTGTGTTTCGAATTACAAACAATGTTTTACGGAATTTGTAGCTACAAATTGTGGTCTCTGTAACCCAAAAATAGTTTTATAAATGATGCAGATGAACACTATTATTAACAACTCATAGAAACTGAAAGAATACTTCAGATTTATAGTTGTGCATGATTCAAATCAGAGCGTTAATAAGTCCTAAAGTATCCTCGATTACTCCTTTAAAGTTGTTTCCAGGTTATTTATCATAATATGCGAAGAGTCTACTAAGAACATCTCATTCACGTTCAATGGGATTGAAATCCGGTAAAAGTTCGGATATTTCCATTGAATCAACCCCCCCCTATTATTTAATGAATGTGTTGATCAATTAACAGTGAGGGAGGGCAAACGCTATGATCTGTTAGGACGAAATAATGGTCAATAGCACAACAAAGTGGCAACAGAAAAGGCCAGAACGTAAACCTTATAATGTATGACACCGTTCCTCAGAATGGGGAGGTTTATGCCTACATCAGTGCTTATTTCTGTTCATACTACAAGTTCCCCACCGTCGTATGTGTCAAGTTTTAATATGCAACTTGGGTTGTATCTGATGACAGATTCTCTTCAAATGAGTATACGCTTATTATCTGGTAGGATGGTGAAGTGTTCTTGGTACCATTGTAAGGGAAGTGGTTTGTTCCTTGCTACGGGCAGATTGCACTTCCCTGAATGTATAACGTATAGGCTAACCTTTTGAAGTCTGTTTATAGCCATCTGTACACTAACATGATACTCATTTGCTACTGGAACATTTGATTCCCTCTCGAGCCAAAATCGAATATAGCGGTCGTTTACTTGTGGTTGATGGCTTACCTTATCTAGGTGTTGGTTTGAAAACAGTTCCACATTCTGTTAATGATCCTTTCAAACACTTGTACTAACAGCCTTTCTTATTGACTACTTTCCATCAGTCCGCTGGATCACCACATATGTGAAAGCTCCAAGTGTTTAGCACAGTATATATATATATACATATATATGAAGAGTAAAGATCACTCTAAACTCTATCTGTGATACATTTTAAGTAAACAGCAACAATGCATTTACTAATCCACATAATATAATATTCATTATAATCAGAGCTAGAAGTTTCAATATATGAAAATAAAATTATCTTAGCCATCACATTATATAACGTTAACCATCACACTACGTAATGTTAGCCATCACACTACGTAATGTTAACCATCACACTACGTAATGTTAACCATCACACTACGTAATGTAACTCGAGTCTGAATGATTAATAAACCTCTTTCCTGTACCCTAATTAGCATTCATTAACAAGGAAAGAATGTCAACCCAAAATTGCTTTAATAGACAACTTGCATTAAAATTATTCACCTCATGAGTTCATAGAGCCGAGTGATTCTTGAATGATATAAAATGGTATATATTATTTTATGTTTTGCTGAAGTAAAGTTTATAAAGCGAACGTACTACTTAATTAATTGCTGAAATAAAACACATATCCGAATTTTCTTATGGGCTAAGCAGTTTTTTAAACAGAGAAGCATCTTACTTCTTTTTTCTTTTCTTTTTCTTTTTTGGGGGAGGGGTGGGGGGAAACATCTGCTTTTTATCTTTTGTATAATTGAGGAAAACGGAAAGAAAGAATCCTCGGTAAATACTTATAACAAACAAACCGTAATATAAGTTAGCAAAGAGTCCTCGGTAAATAAATGTTGCGCATTACGAAACTTCCATGTGTTTCGTGATTTCACACATGGTGGAAGCAGGTGTAACCGAGTCATTAAACGGAAGCTGGTGTAGCGACGTTGTTTAGTATATTATTGCAAAACATAAGCAAACTAAGCATTCAATTTAACTTCTGTATCCCAATAATCTTACGTTCTAATGTTTCCAGTGTTTAAAAACAAATAAAATGCTCCTCTGTTAAATGAGAAAACTAAAATAATGACTTGACTATTCCACTTCAATGATTTGACTAACAAAAAGTTTAATATCGTACAGAATGTATTCTGTGTTCTAAATAATTCCTCGGTTTTGAAGAAACTGTAGAGTCCTTAGGGTCATTAATTCTGAGTTTGTTAGGGAAAAATTGGGAAGTTTAAAAATTGATAAGGCTTCTGGACCAGATAATATTTTCTCAAAGGTTTTAAAAGAGATTAAGGATTGGATATGTGAGCCACTTGCTACTATTTTTTAATTCGTTGAATTGTGGACCAAAGGACTGAAAGTTAGCTAATGTCACTCCTCTTTCCAAGGGAGGTGCTGAAAATTCCAATAACTACAGTTCTATTAGTCTTACATCAGTTGTGGGAAAAGTTTTGGAAAGTCTGATAAAAGATGCTTTGCAAAGTCATTTAACAAAGTTTAGAATTTAATCGGATAGTCAATAGTTTCACTAAGGGAAAATCTTGCCTTACAAGAGGTTATAATTTCATTATACAGGTCACTGGTTAGGCCACATTTGGAATATTGTTTTCAGTCTTGGACTCCTTACCTTATGAAAGACATTGAATTGTTGGAAAAGGTTAGGAGAATGGTTACCAGAATGGTGCCTGGGATGGAAGGGTTGTCATACAATGAGAGGCCGAAATCTCTCAAATTGTTTTTTCTTGAAAGAAGAAGAGCTAGGAGGGATCTGATTGAGATGTTTAAGATTGTATATGGAATTGATTTAACAGTGAGAATAGTAGTATTAGGGGACACAAATATAAATTTTGGCAAGATCGGAGTCATCTTCAGCTAAGAAAGTTTTATTTTTCTAACAGGGTGATTGGCCTTTAGAATGGGTTGCCTTCAGATGTTGTGAAGGCAGTAGATTTAAGTGAGTTTAAGAGGAGCCTTTATAACTGCATGAATGATAAGGGCTGACTTTAAGATTTTTTTAAATAGTTTAGTTTAG